TTCCATTCAAAGTGACCTTAACTGTTCAAAACAGTCAGAGGCAGTTGTGAAGTGAGCAAATCAGCACGTCAGCTTGCTGCGAAGAGCATTCGGAAGACTCGACCTATCCATCTTCCCCATCTGCACAATTCTTACGTGCGCCGTCACGTTGAATACTTCATCCAAGCTTGGCAATCTTGATTGAAGCGCGACTTAGAAGTATTAGAGAAACCCCAACACAGGGTCACAAAGAACCTCAAGGGACTACGAAATCTATCCTACCATCAAAGGCTGAAGTCACTGCGAGTTTTCAGTGGCCGCTACCGAAGGCTGTGCGGCGATCTCACATTAGTCTACCAAATATTGAGTGACCCTAATCACGTATGCCGTCACTTGCTGAAACTCAGCCATAACACCAATCTAAGAGGGAACCCTCTGAAATTGTGTGCACAGTTTAGCCACCTGGAATTATTTTTCTCTTAGGGTTGGCCAAACCTGGAACTCTCTCTCTCTCAAACTTCGTTGTTTTCTTCCCCGCCTTGGATATTTTCAAAAAAAACGATTGGATCTTGCCAGTGGTCCCCATCACTTCGTTGCCTAAACTGTGCAAAATTGGAATATATTAAGTACCCCTCCAAATCGGATTTAGATGTTACATAAACCTAAGGATGCGGGACACAAGTGAGTATTCTCGTTTTAACTTCTTACTTTACTCACGGAGTACAACAAATATAACGGTCCCAATGTTGTCTCGTCTTTCGTGTTCAATTCCTATGTACATTACTATTATTCAGCAGCTTATCTGATAGATACACGCTCAAACAGACAACTCGCCTATCTTTTGATACTTGTAGTTTAACCCCCACCATCCTGCGGGCATTGCCAAGCAACTGCTTTTTTACCTGACATAAATTGTTCACTTCCGTTTCTAAAAACGTAGAGGCGATTAGGTGCAATCCCTCGACTGAGCCATGTTACTTCATTGTGGCACACAATATCTCCGTATTCACCGCGGACGTCGAGTAGAAACTGATGAAATTGACGATGTAACCGGGCTTTAGAGCGAAGCTAGTCCACGGCTTTTCTCAATGGCTTCATAACATGCTTACACCTAAGATGTTTGGCACAAATAAATTGTTGGTCAATGAAGTAGTGCAGCTTTAATGTCTTTGCCCCCTCTTCGCTGACTTTGTTATAGACAAGCGTTGCTAATCCATTGTACTCGTCATTCCTGGCTGGGGCACCGTCAGCAACAGTACCAAAAAATCTTTACATGACAGCTTAATTTCACTGCAGAACAAACAGAAGCAAATAAATCTATTCTGCTTGTTTGATCTTTAAGAGTCAGCAGGCCAAATCATTTCTCGCTCAGTCATCGTTAACTCATTTCAAGAAGATAAGAAGCTGGGCAATATCAGATGCATCAGTGCCTTCATCACAGGCTTTCGTATAGTCAAATTCTACTCATTTCGCTTCCAAGTGTTTTAATATTAGAGATGTCTTCAGTCCTGTGAACCACATTGTTGTGTGCCTGGCAAACCCATGCATTTTCTCAGGACAGATATTTCAAAAATTTTCATCTTATGTTCTACGACAACTTCATTTTCAGAAAATGGTTCGCAGTGTTTTGTTATTAGTTTGATCACCTCATATCGCCTTTTCACTCGACTGACCGATTCTTGCATACGACCTTGGCTGTGAGCTTATTCCAGCTTCCATTTGCTCCACTTTCCCAACTCATTCGTTTGTAGTTACTTTGTCATAACATGCTTTGTTTGGTAGTGCTTCACGACATTGAATTCCCAAAATTACAACCACACACTCCAAACTAACCAACGAAAAAAGAATCCAAGATCAACCTTTCCTGGAAGCGGCGTCCTTCCTCAATAACTGTCCTTCTTTTGTCGCACACTCCATTTTAGAACAGTAATTAAAATCACATAAATGAAGTGTCAACAAATCTTTCAATTTACCTTTTCAGTTTAGTTAAAACCCCATTATCATAGAAGCTGTAAAAGTGAAGAAAAAAGCCTTTTTGGAATTAAAAGATCAGAAAAGTGAAAAGGTTGTAGATTGAAGGAAATTACAGTACAATAAAAATTTGGAGACTGAGATAGTCTATAAAACAAAAATCCCATTCTCAGAACGGGCTAACTGTAGCCAGTCATATGGTTGGCGACATCTGGTTTCGGATTTGCCTGTCACTGTAACCAGCCACAGGACGCCTGCGCCTACAGAGAGACCATGGGTAGCTTGCGCTGCACCACCCACACACTCTATATCCACTGTAAACCCGAAGGAATAAGACCGGGAGGCCTGTGGATGGGAGACACATTTCATCAACGGAGCCGGTCCACACTCCTTCACAGGCAAACACAAGGACGCTGTATTTGGGAACCAAGCACACACAAGGCGATGGCTGGGCCGTTGTCCGCTCCACACTGAGTGCATGGAACCACTCTTCGAGCCTAGCACGACCACAAGGACCGTGCACCCCGTTCCCTCCAGCAACGACCAACTGTCTCCTGGAGCCAGTATGGACGATGTAGTGGATAATAGACAGGTAGGCACCTTGTCAACATGCACATCAAGCGCAGCCACACCGGGGATATCAAGCAACAGCCAATCACTTGAAATAACAATATCAAATAAAATATATCTGTTAAAGCATACCGCAGACATAACTCTTCGCTAAATTAGCATATGAAGTAAGCTGGTTAGTAACGAATCCGTGATAAGTAAAAAATGTCCACAAGTTACTTAAAATGCTACAAACGCAACAAAATTACCGAAGATAAGCGCAATTAGTGTAAGCAACGTGTGCAAGTTAATAGAAGAGTATTCATGTAGACAAGACAAACCAAATAAGGTGGTCAATTTTATCCAGCATAAAAAGACCAAGTTTCAGGGTAAGTGGATTTAGCCCCACTGCGGTGAAGAAGCATCATTAATGCAACATCAGCCTCAGCATGGGGTATAGCCAATCATATATATACCAAGTTAACGAACCCATATTTTTCTTGGGTGAGTTAAGACGCGATTAGTAAAAGCCCTAGATTGAATTTTCCTAGTTGAGTAAAGGTAAACGTTACTACATCATTGATTACCAGCATCTGACGCCATTGGACTTTGTACTCATAACGCCTTATTTTCTGTAATCTATATAATATCGTCTGTACGGAAAAATCAAGCTTGTATTTATTAGTTCATGATGAGGTTGTGGGCCAGTTGAAATGTTAATGCGATCCGTATTTGGACCGCAGGCCGGAGTTGGACATCCCTGATCTAGGTAATATGCACACGTTGAGGTCGCTGCTCCAGTTGCGAACACAAGTGGTCCCGAATCTGAGAAGAGTTCACCACCCGCTGTGTTTTGAAGGGCAGGCGGCTAATGTTTGGAACCATCCGTCAGGGCACAGTGAAAGCAAATTCAGTGCAACAATCCAAAACATTGCTGGATTACCATGTATCTAATGTTGGATTCCGGACAATGATACATTTGCGAGTCCAAAGTTACGTTATCACGCAGGAACTTGAAAAGCGATCTGCGCTGACCAGTCAGCTGGTGTTTATTTTTCCAGATTTCAATCAATTTGGATAGGATTGTACGGACTTAAATTTCCAGTTGCTCCAATAATACGCATTGATTTCTCGGAAGGTTCGTCGAAACTAGAATCAGACAGACAGTCACGCAATCCAGGAACTCGCTGGACCGTTGTTTTCTCTTACTGACTCCTCGTTAACGCGCATCCGATGGAACCGAACCTAGGATCATACTACTACGGGTCAGCGACTTGTGCCAATGAGCGACGGCGGTAGACCGCCATGAATGATTTCCAACTGCGATATAGCGCGACCCATCTACTGTTGTGCATGCCTTACTCCCCTCACGTCCTTCCTTCTACAATTCCTAAATGGCAACAGCCGCAGTGCCACTGGAGTCACACCACCTTCCCGCAACACCTACTGGAAGCCTATAGACAGCCATCCCTTATAAGGCCAAAGTGTCCCGTTTCCCTGGCGGCGTTCAACGCTTGCGCTCTAAGACAAATATGACAACTGGCTGCACTCGCACGCTGAGTGTTGCGTATCCGAAAATAGGATCAATGACCCCAATGGGGTCGTTGCATTAACTGCGCCTCGCCTGTCCTCTCGCTATTGGCTGCACGCATCCGGGGACGCTGATGCAGCACTCAAGGTTCAAGCTGGGGAACGCATCATTCTCAGCTCCAGTTCCGGAATACGTGCGTCCACTATGATCATTCTTTGGTATGCTGCCGTTTTTCCCTGAACTTCCCCAGCAGGGCGCAACAAGCGTCTTCTTAAATTGGCAAACGAGAAGTCATCCCAGTCCTCGGCCAGGCATGCCTACTAAAATATTCTCTGCGCAACGAACTTTCGCTCTCTCGTCCTAATAACAGTGTGATTCAGCTGGAAAGGAGCGCGGTCGCTATGCTCGATGCGGTAGCCTCTGCTTGCGGCACTACCAAACGTCACTGCGCCAGCCAGTTGATATCCGAGAGTTCTGTGAACCTGTTGGAATTCAGAAAAAAACCCACTGGCTGTGAGCACAGTGTAACCAGTCGAACTACTAGGCGCGAGCTTGAGCACTGGCACTACGCCCACTCAGCATACGTAATCCACACACAGTCGTCAAAACATTTGACCTCCATGTATGAGCACGTGGCGTGTCCAAGCAAGTGACAATCATGGGCGATTATGGAAGCGCTTTATCACACCCGATCACAAAACGGCCATACTTATGTCGCATTAAGATGCACAAATGGAAGTCCGGATAACTGATCCACACATCGTCCAGGCATTCAGTAATTGTCGCCGTACTCAACCGCACCCGAGTAGACTTGGACTCCCAACCATTATACATCAATACGCGATAAGCCCCTGTCTTGCATGCATCAGTATTAGCTGCACAATAGTATCATTGATATTACTGTCTAACTCGAATTAAGTGGCATCAATATACTGCCCCGCCCAATACAGTACCAACAAAAATGGGCGAATTCGATAAAACGATAAGGATGAAATTCTTTCGTATTTGACATCAGGTGCATATAATCTGTTGTGGTAAAAATGACACTTTTCATACGTAATGGCAGTTCACAAATTGCGAAAAATGTAGCGTGCCCATATCACCGGGATCAGATCTCGAGATAAAGCACGATAGGACAGTGGTCGCTTCCGGGGACAGCGCAGCGTATCTCCTGGTCGCGGACACATGGCATAAACCTTTTTGACACCAGGAAATAGTCAAGACGCCTGAAACGAAGGGAGCGAGGAACATGCTGAGAGATAGTAAGATGACAGTTTGGACAAATTTCGAGTGTTGATTTCTAATAAAATCGAATGGTTTTATTAAAAGCACACAGTAGTGATGTGGAGAAAGGACGCTAGGGCAGGTGAGAGGTCGTGATTAGTCACTGGGTCCTATCAGAGTTGGGGATTAGTGAGGTCCGGGGTGTACGATAAGTCAAAACACTCCAATGTCCAGGAGCGCAGAATTACCGCATTTTTTAAAGAAAGCCTAATAATAAAGCTTTATTTATTTATATAATAACATGTCGGAAATCGGAAATTGTAAGAAGAATATTCTTTTCGTTCACTTCAGGCATCAAACATTATAAAACGATGACAGTGACAAATAGCACTCTAGCAGACCTGCGAGATTACCACGTGAAGTGTTGCTGACACATCTCTCACTTTAGAGATTCGAGGTGAAATCGCTGCGTTGAGATGAAGCAATACTCCCAGACCCGACGACCTTCCATCTTTGCTGAAAGATGGCGATGCTGCTGATTGGACATCCAGTTCTACGGAACTATCGTGCCCAACATAAAAAGGGCCAAAGGACTTTGTGGGAAAATTATCTAGGCATTAGCCTTATTTCCACCGCTTGCAGACTTCTCACGGACATCATTCAGCCACGACGTGCTCGTCCTTGTTACTGCCGAATTACTGAAATCCAGACTAGTTTACGCCCTAGTCGTGGTTGCATTGATCACATATTTACTCATTAGTAAACACAAACTGAGCACTATCAGTCCTCAAAATGCTGTGTGGATTCACGGTATTGGCAAGAGAAGTCCTGCTCCGGACGATCAACCAGTGTCATGTGCACGGGCAGTAACCTGCATGGCAGTGCAGGATGGGTCACGCTATATCGCAGATACAGTTCAATCCGTGATTGTCCGCTAACGTCCCCCATGGCTCGGTGGCATAAGCTGCTGGCTAGTGTTGCAAGCCACTAGCAGTCATGAGTTCGATTCCCAGCAGGGGACCGAGGGAAGGCGCATCACTGACGAGCCACCATAGGGTGTAACAATCGTCTGATGCCTTTCCGGATTGGCAGTTCACCTTTGAGGCTTGTAAGCTGAGTGTAATGAATAAAATAAGATAAAACGGCTTATTTATTTGTAACGTTTAACCGGAGAATGTCACCGCAATCGCGGCAATCAGAACATGGAATCCGAACTTCTTTTCCCAACCTTATTCTGGAGAGCAGTGCAACGACTGTCCTCGTGCAGAAGATAAAGCCCACACTGCAGTCATCAAATCGAATCTTATGCATGTTAACTGCCGTGATATGATTGATGGATGGGGATATAAAAGCAGACCACAATGGAGAACCATTGTCCACACGGCCTGGTAGATGTCTAATGTGTGGAAACTAGCAATAATGAGATGTGTGCTGAGTACGGTGACAGGTTCACGCTGTGCGTATGGCATGGTAACGCATGTTAAGAAGACGGAGATTAAGTTATGAGAATCAGTGCTGTAGTTATGACCCGGTTTACAGTGCAAGTGAAAGCGCAGCTGGGGACGCGTATCCGACAATGGTCCATAGAAAATTGTAGTCACGTGTGCTTTGCAGGTATGTGCACTTCTCAAATGCTTTAAATTCATCAATAATAGAAGTACATCAGCCATGTGAACTAACGCACCGCTAAAGTGGAATCAGAACGACATAGGGAGGAAAGTATATCGCAAAAGCTTAATGTCCTAAGCAAAAATTCAGGAGTAAGGTGTCTACACCTTGTGTGAACAACATACCGTCACAAACAGATGGATATCGTACAAAGATACGGCGGCATCAGCAAGACAGCTTCCTTGCGGCTTTCATTGCCCCATGCCATAATCAGCCACTACTCCGCCGATAATTCAGTAGCAAGCACAATTAATACAGATAGCCCGAATAGGAGACCACAGTAAACATGCCACTGTTGCCGACTGCCAGCCAGGTCTTGTATCGTCTGGAGTCAAGCCCAAGGCGGGTCTCACGTGGACCCCAACCTGGAAGGATAGACGGACCAACGGAACCCAGTTCTGTAGTCTGTGAGTTTATTTCCTGTTGCCAGAGTAACTTTTGCTCCCCTCGAGTTTTGTGACACCCTAGATATGACAAACAAAACAAGTCCCTCTTCAGTAAGCAGTGACCGGGCATATGCAGTACACGACCAATCCAACGCAACGTGTTCAGTGCTATCCGTGGTTCCACGGAACTAGTCTGTTTATCACTGCCTAGAACTCGCCTACCCACACCATCGTTGCGAACACGCTGGTGCCACCCGACACCAGCAACGCTTCAGACAACAATGATCGAAAACTTGAAGGCCCTTCAGACCGAAGACGCCAACTCTCATTGCTGTATCGTAAGACGGTCCTCACTGTAGCCTTGTAAACAAGCCCTCTCAGACCGACGGTAAAAACCCTTCTGACGCCCCAGATTCAAAAAGGGACTTCTGGCTTTTGCAATACGTGAACTGATGATTCTATGAATCCACCGTTGCTGATGCAGCTGTCAAGAAAAGTTATTTGATCGTCCACCTCGAGCAGGTCGCTATCAAGAGTCAATGAGGTCATCAGGTGGCTGGTGATCGCAGTCTGAAGGTGCGAAACGCATGCCAAGTTCAACTTTAAACACTAGAGGTTATTCATGGTTGCTTGCATCTTCTGAACATCCTTAAACATCAAGGCAATACCGACTGCACAAGCAAGAGCAACTAGCTTTCCACCAGGCGGTACCTCGACGCCTGCATTATGAGATTCCGCAATGAAACATTCCATTATGGATCCGACGAGGAACTTGAACAAGGATGGGGAAATCGGACAAAGTTAACAAACACTACTTATTGCCGGTAAGACATCCATTAATCCAAGTTAAGTCAAAATAACCTTTATGAACCCTAATGGGCTGGATTTCAGCATTTAGACCACCACTGCAGAAATACTGGAAGATAATATCAATTTGATATAAATAAGTGGGGAGAAAAACAAAACATACGAAAAGTGCGGGACCTTTGAATTGGCCGTTGCCGTTCTCCCCCAAAACATCGTTTTTTGCGCAATCTACTGAAAACGTACCAATGTTGTATGAATGTTTTGACGAATTCATTGGCTGAACAACTTCAGGACCACTGAGACCGCTTAACTCCACCGACGCTATGGAAAAGCATTCGATATATCGCGCAAAACTCACAGTTTTCTGCTCTTATCCGAATGAAACGAGTTACCAATAATAATAACGTTATTATTATTGTTATTGGTAGCTCGTTTTAACAAATGTTGGCATCGTCAACTGAATGAAGAATCTTATAATTCAAAATATTTCGGAAAACTGGTAGCTCGGGTTGATAATTCAACTGCTCATTTGTTCGCCGAGCTGGGAATTTATTTGCAAACGACAAGTGTGATCATCAAACGCAATCAGGTTACAGTCGCACAGCAGCTATTGAACAACGCCATTGAAGACATCCGGTTTACGATGGAAATGGAGAAGGAAAACCAACTGTCTTTCCTGAATGTATTAGTAACCAGAACCATGGAAAGGAGGCTGCAAATATCAGTTTACAGAAAATGGAAACACACGAACCAAATTCTGAATTTAAACAGTAAACATCCGAAATGCCACAAAGTAAACTGTGTGCGGGCACTATTTGGTGAAGTGCAAAGACACCGCAGCACCGTGGAGGTAAAGCAACAAGAAGAGAAGCATCTAATTAAAAGTTGCCAACTCAACTGATAGCCGCGAAGCTTCATCCGAAGATGTCTGGACCACAACAAACCTCATCAGACAGTCTACACGGCCACGTGTTACGTATACCAGCCCATCGACTCCCGCGACGTGCGTTGTTTGCGCACCGGGGGTGTGGATGGAAGAAGAGGAGGGGTGGCCAAGCGATGACTTGGTCCAGAGGAATGAAGGCCCTCACTTCTGAGCTGGCCTCGGTTGGAGCGTCTCGGCTCCCTGGTTGGGGTCCGAAAGACGATGAACACGTTTGGTTGGACACACTTGCTGACATGGCTAGGAGCCGACCTCAGTGGCGTTCGTGCTGTGAGTTTCTTTGTCCTACCCACCCCTCTTAGCCTCCCCTCCAACCACGATCTCATTATTTAGCCTTATATAATTTTGCATAGTAATTTTTTGATGCACAGTAGCCGGCTGGTAGCTTACCGGAATGATGCCCATCCGTTACCGGTAGCTCAGCCGGATTGCAACAGTTGTACTTTTTCCCCTTTTTTCTGTGTATTGCGGCACAGTAGCTGAGGTGTTCCCCACCTCTAGCTGACGTGCATGATGATGATGATGATGACAGTCTACACCAACGACGGAGAGACGCGTTGTTTTACCTTATATGAAGAATATATCCGAAATGGCAGCAAGACTATTCAAACAACATCACCCCATCGTAGCACACAAACCAACTGCCACATTGAGGAAAACTCGGTCGAAACTGAAAGAGAAACTGGAAGCTCATGAGCAAAGTAATGTTGTATATAGACTAAGCTGTAGAAATTGCGAAAAAGACTATGTTGCCCAAACGGGTAGAAAATTAGCAACACGAATAGAAGATCACAAAAGAGCATGCAAAATGCACTATGCATTATCGCTAGTTTCAGCACATGGGGACAAAAAAGAACACAGCTTCGACTGGACTGGGCATTGAGCGCCCTTCTCCTTGGGCCGTCTCCTCGGATATGCCCTCACGCGCAGAGGTCGAACGTGAGATCAGGTTGTTGAAATTGCATAAGACCGCAGGGGCAGATAGAATTCCCCTAGCTCTACAAATTCGGTGGACCTGCTCTAGTAGATGATTTACACGAGTTGCTAATAAAATTTTGGTAACAGGAGACAGTCCCGACAGACTGGAACCGCTCCGTCATTATCCCAATTTTCAAGGGAGCCTGCTGTTCGGAATGCGGCAATCATAGAGGGCACAGTCTGATTTCGATTACCTCTAAATTGCTTGCCTCTGTCATTCTCCACAGACTGACTGGAACTCGTGAAAGCCAGATTCGTGATGAGCAAGCCGGATTTCGTCAAGGTCGGGGCTGCATCAAGCACATCTTCATCTTGCGTCAAGTGTTGGAGCACCGCCATGTTTATTGGCGGCCCACCGTTGCCGTGTTTCTTGATATAAAAGGTGCATTCGACTCAGTCGATCGATGTGCCCTTTGGGACTGTCTGTTGAGGAAAGGCGTGCCTGCTAAACATGCAAACATTATCAAAGCGCTGTACGCGCATAGTTCGGGTAGGGTGAGTATTTATGGCAAACTGTCGTCACCCTTCAGTATCACCAGCGGTGTGAGACAAGGATGCCCGCTGTCACCTTTCCTCTTCAACTTCGCTATTGATGAAGTTATGGAAACAGAGTTCGCTGCACACGATTTGGAAAGTGTGGAGCTACTTACTGCTGAGCGACTTCTTGACTTGGAGTATGCGGACGATATTGCCCTAATCTGTGACAGCTCCCAAACATGCCAAACAGCACTGGACCGATTAGCACTGGCTGTCAATCATTTTGGGCTATGCTTTGCTCCATCTAAATGCAAAGTACTTCTCCAAGGTTGACAGGGACGCAACCCTGCGCTAACGTTTTGTGGTGATCTGCTAGAAGTCGTTCAGGAATTCAAGTACTTGGGCAGCTATAGTAGCACCCGTGGGATTTAAGATGAGGTTACGAACCGCATAGCAAAAGCTCGAGGTGCTTTTGCCAATCTCCGCCACCTGTGGCGCAGACGCGACATTAATCTCGTCCTGAAGGGCAGAGTTTACAACGCAGCCGTCCGTTTAACTCTCCTATATGGTTGTGAAACCTGGCCCATCAGGTCGACAGACATGAAGAGACTCGTCACGTTCGATCATCGCTGCCTTCGCAGCTTAGCTCATGTCTGGTGGGAACACCCCCTGAGCAATGAGCGTGTTCGACGTCGCGTATTTGGTGCAGGAAGAGCGAGTGAACAGCTCAGCACCATTATATCACGCACCAGGCTCCGATGGCTGGGCCACGTGTTGCGCATGCCAGCACACCGACTCTCGCGACACGCATTGTTTGCGCGTTGTGGGTGCGGTTGGAAGAGGAGGAGGGGAGGCCAAGTGATGACTTGGTCGAGAAAGATGAAATCCTTCACTTTGAAGTTGGCGTCGATTGGTGCATCCCGACTGCCTGGCTGGGGTCCTAAGGACGGTGAACACGTTTGGTTGGACACAGTTGCTGATATGGCTTGGAGCCGGCACCAATGGCGTTTGTGTTGTGAGTTCCTTTGTCCATCCCCTCCAATCACGATCTCACCTGTTAGGCATAATACGATTCTCTTTTACGACATCCAGCTGTTAGCTCTCAGGAACGATGTCCATCCGTTACTGGGGACTCAGCGGGCGTGCCACTGTTTGTTTGTTTTTTCTTTTCTTGCCTTTTTTATTGCGGCACAATAGCTGAGGTGTTTTCCACCTCCAGCTAACGTGTAGTGATGATGATGATGTGATGGACCAAAAGAGAAGTCCTGACACGAGGCGAAACAAGAAAAGGAAGGGAGTTCATGGAAGCGTGGTTCGCAACAAAAGACTCGATCAATATGCATATCGATATTGACCCAGTTTACCAACTCCTCCGACGGACAGAACTTAGAGAAATTATGAGACGCCGCTTGAATAAGAACAACCCGAGGCCAGTTATTTCGTATCCACTGACGTTAGCCTAATACCCTTATGGTTAGCACAATTAGTGCGATTGATATTCCTCGATATTGCCATCTTGATCGATTCACTCCAGTTAGCTTGATTAGTTTTTTTCTCCCAGACCCGTTGAAACAGGTGAGCCATTGATAAGAAGATGACCTTACCACCAAATTATATAGTTGCATAAAACACATTTTCGACTTGACTAGTGAGGGTGCGAGAGTCTGGACTGGTAGCGTGAAAACAAGTTAGAGCTGTGATCGCAACTCGAACTACAACCGGTGGTGGGGTTTCCAGGCTAACTGCCCATGGATGGTCTGCACTATCTGAACAAGAAGAGATTCGGAAGCAGCAGGTCAAATAAACTACTCCCGAAAATGCTCCGCCCAACGAACCACACGGCGCTCCTCACAGCGAATTAGCATACACGTGCAACTTCTGAATGTCTCACTGATCCTTGATTTCCTGGGAGTAGTGGTGCGACCCAGTTGAAAAAGTCTGCAGTAATTGTCCACTTCATCGGTCTCTCGTATTTTGTGAAATTGCTAGGTCTACAGGGTTTTCTTGTTAATACATAGACCCCATTTTAGATAACGCCTAATAGTGTGTCTGGTTGTACTGTGCTCAATGCCAGCAGGGCCTTTAGTGGAATGCAGTAAGCTCACCGAATTCTTAGATATCGATCTGATTACGACCGATAGTGTCGCATGCACATGTTCCGGCGTTGTGCATGGCGGCCGAGATACTATCCCAATGAAGCTCGGTGTCCTTATGGCAAAAAGACGAATTTCGGTGCACAGGGTACCCTTGCAGCCTTGTATGAATGAGAAATTCTCAGTTGCATATCTAGGGTGGCATATGCCATGCCTTGCGGTAAAGTTAATGTATAATCAAGAGTCGACGCAATTATTCCAGAACGAAGGAAAATCCAGGAGGAAACCGCGCCACCGGTGATTTGTGATCTATATGGGCCCATCGTTGGCCATCTATAGAGAATCGCCCATTGGCACAAGGCAATTGAATGTTGCGTGAGTCACACGGATGTTGAAACGAAATAACTAAGCAATGGCCATGGCAAACAGCTAATAGCCAGAGTACACACACGCGTACGCACGCACGCACGCGGCGAGCGGTTGTCACAGCGTGTCGTCAAGTAAAGTCCAAACAAAGCTAAAATAGAAGTGCTGCTCTATCGAAAGAGAGACCATCTGTGGAGATAGAAGCCTACTGGGAAAATTCAATCGTGAGAAATTGTAGTAACCAAGAAAAAATGTGGGCTACGGGTGGAAATCCGAAGGGCGACGCGCAGTGAAGCAAAGGCCAGTCAAGGTAATCCGGCGATAGGAGGAGGCTGTGTTTGTGGCGTCTGGGATACCAAAACGATAAAATGATCACAATACTGAACGGCAGGTTAGCCAGGAGGCATAAAGGTGTTACCCAACGAAATAAATTCTCGTATGATTGGGTGAACTAGTGAGATAGCATCATTAGTGCGAAAGGAGGATTCCCGATGCCTTGTGGTAAAGCTTTTAGACTAGAGGCAATGGATGAGAACCCTAATCGTTCTCTGAACTAGGCCTGAGCAACTTGACAGTATCTTGCCCAGCAATAAAAGCAACTTTTTTCAAACAAATCCTTGATGTCATGGTCATGGCTGATGACGACACTGTATCTGCTTCATAGGAGGAGATGGATAGGAACGAATGCGTCGTTGCTGCTCAGGCCTTTTCGTCCTCTTATCTCCCTCAGATTTTTCATCCTTATCATGCCGATACAAATTTACTTTTGTCCCCGCTTCTCTACTATCGAGTCCGTTGTCCTCCTCCATCTTGCTATATTATCATGGCCGTCAGTAAATTCATTTCCCGCTGCCAAGTCAACCTTTGTCCATCTCCAGCCTTGTGCCACCCTATATCTGGCAGACAAAACAAGGCCCTTCTCGGTAAGTGGTGACCAGGAATACATAGTACGTGCCCAAACCAACGCAACTTATTCAGTGCTATCTGTTGTTCCAAAGAGCTTGGTTATCACTACCCAGTACTTGCCTACGCACATCATCGTTGTGGGAAAGCTGGTGCCACCCAACACCAGCAATGCTTCGCTGACAACGATGATCGAAGACTTGAAGACGCCTCAAACCAACAGACCCAAGGGGCTAAATCTCACTACGCCAGCTCAATACTTGTTTTGTCTTCAGAAGAATTTAAAAAAAACATCAAGCGACATGTGTGGGCCTACTCTTTTACATCAGTTGAAACTGATCGCGTACTTCGCTACCTGTTTACAGACAAAAAAACAGGCAATGAAGCGCTTAGTCCTCGCTGAATACTGTCTGCACCAAGTACCACACATGAACAGTTTCTATGAGATTATATAGCGATGTAATTGCGTGACTCGAAAACCCGTGAGTGATGCGGTGAGCAGTGGTATTAGTGCGTGAAGAATGAAGGGTCCACTTAATTAACCGCGCGAACAGTGTACTAGATACAATTATAGCGGCACGGTTGACTATTGGCAAACTTTAGCGACGTACCAACCAGCGTTCTTCGGCCTGGCTCCAAATCTGTAATTCCAAAATGTGTAGGCCCGTTCACGTGTTGGGTAGAAAGCACGGTACGTGTCAACCAGATTGGCTTCCGAAAGAAACTTTGTGAAATTCGCACGTTCCTGGTCGGTGAAACCAGCACTTTTGTGATTGGTATCTGGATTGGCGAGGTCTGGAAAAGGGTGGTAGTAGTAGTAGTAGTAGTAGTAGTAGTAGTAGTAGTAACAGTATTAACAGTCTACGGAATAGACATAGAGCCAAACAAAACCATGAAAATCACTGGAAGAATACATGTTTAATCACCGCATCATCATCATAGTACATTAGCTGAAGGTGAGCAACACAGTTATTGTGCCGCAATAAAAGAAAAACGGAATATTTCTTGCTATTTTGCACATGCCATTTTCCATATTTACGTCTTTTTCAACTGTTAAACATTAAGCATCTCAATCTAAACAAGTAAATACCACTGTTTTCGATTGCGCGCCATATCCTGAATTATTTCCAACCATAGGTATTCCTCGTGCTTTGATTCTCAACCAGGAAGACGTGTGGATCAAACGGCAGTAAACTGTGAAGACAACAATTTCATACGCTGTCGCCAGATGGATGGCTGACAATCGAGTGGTCTCTTCCAGTCGAGTCCTGCGCGAGCGAAAAGGACCCAATGGGGCAAACTCTCGGATGACATACGCAGGACATGACCAAGCCATCTTGACTGAAGCAGCAAAAGCAGCTTGTTGAAGGGAATACTTACATTCCCTCAGAGCCGATGTCTGAGTTCATTGCTGCAATGACTTTTTGTCACCATACGCGAGCAATCCTCCTCAAACACCTATCATTGAAGACTGAGAGCCAGGGCATATCATCTATGGGAACTGGCCATGAATCACTGCCATAAAGCAACACCGCTCGAACAAGATACTTTACCGAGAGGGGGACATCTCGACGGTGCCACAAATACTGCAGGTTGACACAAACGCAGACCGGGCTTTGGCGATGCGAAAATAAATTTCCTTGCTGATGGCGCCACTAGCAGACACGCAGCTGCTAAACTAAACAAAGCTATGCACGTATTCAAGCTGAGAACCTTCAAGAGCGAGCGCAGGAAAGCAGGATCGTCAGACCTGGTGCAGCACGTTGCATTACGAATGGGCGAGGCACACTTCGTGCTTAGGTATCTCAATCACCACACGGTTTCGAATGGTTTGCATATCCTGCGATGTTATCGGCATAATCTAAGTCAGTCGCTCGCTTACCCGGTTGTAACTGCAGTCCAGAATGTTGGTAACCCTCCAGTGCTTTCGATCGGATGATTTTAATCGTGAAATTGAAGAGGAACGGGGACATAGGCCAGCCCCTTCGTACACCGCTACTGACAGCGAAGGACGCAGAGAACTTGCCATGGATCCTCACTCTGCCGGAAATGCGGAGGTAGAGTGAACGAAGGATGGTAGTATAGTTTTCTGGGACCACGTTCTTTAGCAAGCAGTGACATAGCGCAGGTCGATCAACTGAGTGGAATGCAGTACCGAAGTGTACGGATGCAATAATGGTAGGCCACTGGCAGAGGTGGCGGTGTTCGAGGATTTGGCGAAGTGTGAAGATTTGATCCTCACACCCATGGAATTGACGGAAGCTAACTGGTTTTTCCAGGTATCGTGATTCACGAATCTGTTGTCCAAGAAATATATGTATTGTTGGCGACATCCGATGCCGGATTTGCCCGTCACAACGGCATGCATAAGACAGCCACAGGAGGCCTGCGCTTACAGAGGGACCATGGGTGGTTTACGTTGTACCACCCACAGTTCCATCCACATACATCCCATAACCAGTGCAAACCCCAAGGAATAAGGCCGGGAGACGTGGATGGGAGCCAGGTTTCGTCAACGGATCCGGCCCACAGTCCTTTGACAAGCAGAGCAGAAACATTCATGCCTACCTGGGAAATCGTGCGTACCAGACATACACAAGGCGGTGGCTGGGCCGCAGTCCGCCCCACGACAAATGGAACCACTTTTTGGGCCTAGCATGGCCACGAAGGCCGCGCACTTCGTCACCCCAGCAACGATTCACAGTCCCCCCCGAGCCAGTTATCGAGGTGGAGGGTATTGGACAGGTAAACAAGTTGTCAATATTCATATCAAGCGCAGTAACACCGGGGTTGTCATGCGGCAGCCAACCACTTGAAATGGCAATATCAAATAAAAGATATAACGAATAAAGCATACGGATATGCCAACATAACTCTTCGTTAAATTAGCATGTGGAATAAATGGATTATCAACAAATGCGCGATAAATTCAAGATGTCAAAAAAAGAGATCAGAAATGCAACAAAAGCGAAAAAAATGACGAAGTTAACCACCTTTGGTTGAAGCGACTTGTGCAAATAAATAGAAGATTATTCAGGTAACAAAATAAATGTGAAGAAATTATAGCAAACCAATCACTTGAAATAAAGAAACGCAGCATTCAAGCACGCAGTTAGTAAATCGATTGAAAGCGCATGTAGCGTACTCACCAGCGCTGCGTCCATTCTGCTTACGTTCTCAGCAGGAGCAGTCGTTGGTTCGATGCTGGACCCGAGTGGCTTCGTTCGTGGCTCACTAGGCCTACATGACTCAGGCACTCGAGGCCATGCACCCGACGTCAATGTAGTACACTACATCGGCGTCTGTCACCTTCCCACCTGCCGCTGCTTCGGTATCCGCGCCGAAGCAATACGGCACACATAAATGAACCACCTCAGGTGTCTCAGCAAAAGTATGCAGTCCATTGCATATACTCCACTTCGGCGAAACATGTCCGCGTCTACAACTCTGTCGCACCAACCAATGCACAGAATCCGTCGCAGACACTGCCGTTGAAACCGCTCGAGATATTTCACGTCTCACCGGTACGTCATCCACGTTTCGCTGTCGTAGAGAACAGACGGCACCATGGATTTGTACACCACCAGCTTCGTGCCGACGGTAAGCTAGTAGTTGTTTCACCCTCGGTACCCAAGCTTCCCGAATGCCGCTGCTGCATTCGATACGCGGATAAAAAGCTCACTATATATTTGCTGGTCAGTCGAAACCACACTCCCAAGCGGGAAGTGGCTTCCAATACTTCATCGCCAATGCTGATTCGCGCCAACACTGCAGATTGCACCTCCGGTGATGGTTGTAGGAGATAGACTGTTTGGCTTGTGTCGATGGTGAGCCCGAATTTGGCCGCTGTCGAAGCCAAATCACTAGCCATTTGCTACAACTCATCTGCGCTATGCGCAAAGAAGACACAGTCGAAAGCAAACAGCAACATACGGATAGTTGTCTCACAGACTAGAGTTCTCACACCGAAACGACGGAAGTTCAGCAACCCACCATCAATACGGTGTTCCACACGAACACCGTAAGCACAAGCGGCATCAAAAGCACAAGACATCATTGCATGAAGATAAATAGTAAACCGGGCAGCAGCTAAGACACAGCCTTGGTTCAAACCAGTGACAACTGCAGTCATCCGAGATCTGTCTACTAAGCTGTACCCTCGACCGCATACCATTGTGCAGACATTCAAGTAAACTTACAAACTTACTCGGACAACCAAAATTACCCAACACCATCCACAATGCCTCGTGGTTCATCGTAACAAATGCTTTGATGTAATCAACAAACAGCGAGTACAACGGCTGGCGTCATTCTCTGCACTTCTCCTGCAGCTGACGAGCGGCAAACACCATACCGATGATGCTGCGACTGGAGGGCAATGCACATTGCTTTTCCACCACGTTCGGTACCCCAAGCTTACTGACGAAGCGTTTGAGTAGGATCCATGCAATCACCTTGCGCGCACAACTCAGCAAATAGATACAAGGACATTGCATGGCACATTGCTCGCTTCATTCGCTCTTGTACAGTGGTAGCACAAGCGCATCCTTCAATTCAGGAGGTAACTCCTCCTCAATCCACACGCATTGCACCAACTGTCTGATCCGCCGAACGACCTCCTCGTGGTGCAAGCTGGGTGGCCCGGGATTATCTCGGTCCAGCGAACAGTTTGGCGGCAGTGTTCTAGAATGTGGTGGGTTTTCGCCTGGAAAGCGTTCTCCCTATAAAAAGCCACATATGTCCGTTTGACAACACTGCGAAGTGGCGAATGTGACTTGCTAGTAAATAAAGTCACTGCCCCTTGTCTCACCTTGGTTAAACTCTGTATCCCAACACCTCAATGCTGATATCGTGGGGAGGATTGGGCCCCTGTTTGGCTATTCACCAAAGGAAAGGCGTATGAACCGAGCAATCAGTCTTTGGCTCCCAATGGGTGCGAATCCCTGACGTCGCTTCGCTGCTTTGCGGGTACACTATTGAGCCAAAGGCTCGTTTTGGAGTACCCTAAGACAACTCCCTATTTCGACTTGGGCAATCGGGTAGTACCGTGCCCTCTGTGAAAACCATGGATTTCGCAATTACTACTACACCGCTCACTTCTGCTACTACTTTCACTGCTACTCATGCCTCTCCATCGCAACGAGGCTGGAGCTTACCGTGGTGCGATGGTTTGTGTGCCTCAGTGATCCATTGAGCTATACTGGGTGGTGCCTTTTGCACCTTCAGAGCCACTCATACCAGATTGGTCAATGGTTAGAGGCCAGACAAACTCTGCCTCCTGGTCCTCCAGGTTGGGGGTTGGAATGAGGGTGGCTCCCTATTTCTTAAAACGGACTCCTTGTAGTCCAGTGCCAAACCCGCTGCCTTGCGGCCAGGTTTTCTAACCAAAGGCTTTGGTTGAGAACGCTAATCGTTCTCCTGTCTAGGCCTGGGCAACCTGACAGTATCTTGCCCACGCAATACAATGAATCCTCCCCCAAACAAATTTCTGATGCTCTGGCCACCGCAGAGGATAATCAACGGTGCACTATCTGCTGCATCGAGCAGGGTGGATAGGGGTTTGGATGCTACTGCTCAGGCCTTCCCATCTTCTTATTCCCCTTCTTGCGCTTTTTCACCCTTATCGTCCCGTTCCAGCTTTACTTTTATCCCCCCTGTTTTCAACCCCCAATTCTCGGCCCTCCCCCACCTTGCTTCAATAGTCACTTGCCTTTTAGTTTCAACTCACAGGTGAACGCAGAGCGTCATTCCTGCACTGTCAACAGGCCCATGTCCAAGCAAGCGGCTCATTCCAG